ATACTTCTTTGAAGCTGTTTAATGAAATCAGTCAATATTTGGAGGCCTTGTGTGTCAGTAAACCAATAGTTTTCAAATGGCTTGTGCATGGTGTTACAAAATCCTGTGTGGACAGAAAACACTCATTCAAAGTGCCAAAGATCAGAGGATGGACACTTCATTGAAATAGCTTCTCATTTTTAAGAAATTCCCACCTGTTGAGTTTGGCATAGCATCAAAGAGCTTCCACAATTATTTTGAAAGGCTGTTAAAATGTTTTCTTTCTAACCACACATTGTATGAGGAAATATTTTCTTTATATTATTCAAACCAAAACATTACATCAGATTGAATACAGAAGCAAATATAAGAATATAGCTGACTTTTGTTAAGCTAGGCATTACAAAATATTGCAAATTTTAAAACAGTACCACTCTTTTCACTGATTCCTTTTGAAAAGATATTGTTTCTAAAACTGCTTTTTTATGTTACTGTTCGATGGCTTTGTTTTTATTTTTAAATGAGTTAATAAAATTTTTAGGTTTTCAGTTTTCTTATACTATACATATTGATAGGTATAATTCATATACAATTCTTATATGATCCTTAGTAGTTTTTAATAATGTAAAGAGAACGTTACATCAAAACTTTTGAGAACAGTTGCTATAGATTTTAATCATTTTCATTTATTCTAGAGACTTTTTCTTCCAATTGTAGTATATAATCTGTTGACTTTTATATCATTTTTTATGATTCTCATTTTTCTAGAGATATATTTTCGTTATTTTCTGGTGTCTTTTTTCTTTTAAGCCTTCTTATTTTAATCTAAGAATTTTAGTTTGTAAGCTATTACAAGGATCCCTACATGTTTTGTGATATGCTACTATTAAGGGACTTAGCATATAGGTGTGCTCATGACTAAGGTGAAAATGTCCACAATAGGATCAGCTTGGGTAAAAGGCATAGGCAGGGACTGGAGCAATCTATGTACATGTTTCCTATAGTTTCCCCTGTGTGGGATCCCATGGAGCCTGCTTCTTTCTTGAGTGGTGAAAATCCAGTAAATTGTGTGCCATGTTTCTGCCCAAGGACTCATTAAAGCCTCAGTGTTTATCAGGAACTAGTTATATAGGCATCTCTGCCTGGCAACTACAAAAACTCCAGACTACCAGAAGACAAACAGGTTTTTAGTGCATCAGGTGGGTAAAAAAGTTTTATCTTGAAGGCAAATGTTTACCATTCAAGGGCCAGTTCTACAAGCAACTTCTGACCTGCTCTGATAACTCTTAAATGTATATAAGGTGATCCTGAATTATTTTGTGTATTTGTGTGTACTACTGCTGGAGATTCTGAAGAGGATACTTTTGATACAGTGTTTGAGAGCATTTGGGGGATATTTTGGCTTATATGCAGACTTCTTGCTGTCTCAGGTAAATAGCCTGACATGGGCCAGATTTCTGGAGAGAAAAAGTTGCTGTTTTTCAGACCACAGGCTGAGAGGCACTTGCTCTGTCCCCAGTCACACTGTAAGCCTTGTTCCAGTTTCCAGCTCTGACCCCACAGGTTCAGTTATTCAATGTGGTATTCATATATGTTTGATATTATAAATCATGGTATATGCATATGTATATACATTTATTTATTATATGCTGATTTGTGAATCAGAAAAACTTGATAAATTTATAAGATTTGTGTCTAGATGTGACACTTATTTTCAGTATTCTTTACTATTTGATGAACCTTTTCTTTCTTGAACAGAAATTTGATAAATGCAAATCTTTCTTCAGATTATGGAATATTTTTCCTTTTGGTCCCTTTCTTTAAAGTTTATTTTTTAATATTATTATTATTTTTTACATTCTTTGATGTTGTTGCAGAGCAGTTGTGGGGGAGGGGGAAAGAGCAAAGGGGAAGGAAATAGGGTGGGAGAAGGAGCAAAGAAGAGAGGCAGGGTTGGGGTCAGTGGCACCACCCTCATTCCTGTATGGGAGATGAGGGGTCTTCCAGCGGTGGCTTGGTCATTGCTGTGCTGGGTGGAGTTGTCAGAGGGGTGTGGTTGAAGCCCTCGTGCCCCCCCTTCTCCAGCTCAGGAACCTGGGGCACTTCCTGCAGTGACCCAGTGGTTGTCACTGGGCTGGTTGTGAGTGTTGGGGGTGTGTGGCTGAGGCCCTCAGCTCCCCACCTCCCTGGCTTGTGAGAGCACAGGGCACTTCCTGTGATGGCTTGGTAGTTGTTGCTGGGCTGGTTGGGGTTGTTGAGGATGGCTGGGGCCCCCACCCACATCCCTTCCCTGGCTTGGTAGCCCAGGGGGTTTCTGGTCCTTTTAGGTGTTATAGGTGTTCTTTTGTGGTGTTAGACCTTTACTGGATGATATCAGACTTTGTCTCTGATCTATGGGTATTTTGTTTTTTGTTTCAGTTCTGAGTTGTATTATTTGTTGTTCCCACCACTTAAACTCTGTGCTGGAACTAATTTGTTGTCCTTTGCTTACTTCTAAAATGGGGGAACTTCCTGTGGGGACCAGTACTTGAGCTCTGTGGTTGAGCTAAATTGTTGATTTGCTTATGATTCCCTGGGAAAGGCTTTTTGTGCAGCTCAGGTTTTAATGGTTGACTTTATCGGTATTTCTGGCTCTTGTGAGATCTGGTACACCTAGGTTGTGTAGAAACTCTGGTCCGGGCCTGAGTCTTTTCAGCAAACTGCACACCCTGCAGTTCTGTATTCCTGACCAGTCTCCACTGAGTGGTCCTATGCTGATTGGGCGGCAGATCAGCTGTCCTTGCTATGCCCCTGTGTTCTCCTAGTGGGCCTGTCTCCCCTACCACCAGTGCTTCAAACACTTCCTGTGGGATGGGACATGCACCAGTCCCTTGTGATGACTCATCAGCCTCTGAGTGGCTCCTTTTTTTTCAGTTGTTGTGGCTTCTTGCTCCTTTGTAGGTCCATGGGAACCCTGTTAGTGGTCTTGCTGGCCTGGTGGCCACCAAGGCCCTCTTCTCCCCTGCAACCTCCAAGCAACTTCATCTGAAGGGCACAGCTATGGCTTTTGTCAGCTCCTGCTCCATGCGCTCACCAGCTCCAGCTTTGAAGTAGCTCGGGCTTGAAATGGTTGGAGTAGTTTTTTCTTTCTCTAATTGTGGCTTCTCCCTCCTTCATGTACTCCATAGGTCTCTCCTCCTCTTCCCCTGAGCTCTAGCAGTCCCAGGTTGGCTAAGAATTCTATTATTTGGTCTACAAATATATAGTTAGATTTTTGGCCTTGTTTTTATTACTTTAATTTTTTAAATTTCAGTATTTATTTTTGTATTTTTTAATTTTTCAAGGACACTTCATATTTTCCAATTGTTCCTCTTCTGCAGCAGCTTTATAATAGTTTTATGGATGTAATTTTTATTTTCAATATTTAGAATTTTCAAAAACATTTTTAATGCTAACCATATTAGATTTCTTTAAGGCCCTTTTCCCTTGCTTTTTCATTTTCTTACTTCTCTTTAATGATCTTGGATTTCCCCAAATTTGGGGTTGAGGAGTGTGTGGTTTTTATTCTTGTTCATAAATGAAACTGGTACAATTTTCCACAGCAACTAGAAGCTGTCTAGTCTATCCTGAATACAGAGATTGACAGTAGCTAAATATGTGCATTTAATTTTAGTTTGAGTATGTAGGAAAGCGAATAGTGGTAGCATTCACTTCAGTGTGAGTTGGAAGCTTTTCTTCTGAGTGAAAGCCATGAACAGGCAGGAAGTTCTCCCTTTGGTTGACAGAGGTAGAAACAGAGCTCCTTGTCTTGGAAGGTGAACTTTTCTGATTTTTGTATTGTTATGTGTTTCTTTATGTTTTTATATTTCTTATGTTATTTCAGTGAGATTTTGGGATGGGCAAGGAAAAAAAAATACATGTTCTGAGTTCCTGATGTTATACTGAATCTCATAACTAATTGTAGATTTATTAGAAACATATTTTGGGGGGACTATTGTTGGTAATTATATGATTTTAATTTCTTCTAAGATGAATATTTAAACTTAGAGAAGGGCCGGCCCAGTGGCGCACTGGAGAGTGCGCCGCATGGGAGCATGGCGGCGCTCCCGCCGAGGGTTCAGATCCCATGTGAAGACTGGTTCCCGCTCACTGGCTGAGTGTGGTGCGGGCGCAACGCCGAGGGTTGCGATCCCATTGCTGGTCCCCGGTACGGGCGCAACACCGAGGGTTGCAATCCTGTTACCGGTTAGTAAAAAAGACAAAAAAATAAAATAAAATAAACTTAGAGAAGTATCATACTTGAGTTTGAGTAGTGTAGTATAGTGGTTCAGAGCACAGGCTCTGGGACCAGGCTTCCTAGGTTAGATTTTTAGGGTTTTTTGTTTGTCTTTTATTTTTTTACATTGCTGAAATTCTGATTGAGTAGTGTAGTATAGTGGTTCAGAGCACAGGCTCTGGGACCAGGCTTCCTAGGTTAGATTCTTAGGGTTTTTTGTTTGTCTTTTATTTTTTTGCATTGCTGAAATTCTGATTTTTTTTTATTAAAACATAATTGATTTACATATTTGTGGGGTATGGAGTTGAATATCAATACCTGTGTACAATATGTGATGATCAAATCAAAGATGAATATGTTAGACTTTTAGTTTTGATAGCATAGCCTTTGGGCATATGACATAATCCTTGTCTCCCTAAATCCATATTCGTGATGGATATAAAAGTAAAACTGGTCTTAAATGATGTTAAGAGATTTAAATGAGTCACTGTTTATAAAGTGACTATAATAGTATTTGGCATTAAGTAATTGATAGGTTAATGTTTATTAAATACAAATAAATATAGTTGTACATAAAAATATACTATGAATTTATCCCAAATAGTGATTTCTCTTGTGTATATGTATATATTTGAATTACTTGAATATGTATATATTTGAATTAAATATATATGTATATATTTGAATTACATATATACATATATATATACATATTTGAATTACTTGACAAACTATGTTTCTGTCTTTCTCTGTTCATTTTTTACAGCTTATCGTGAGCCTCGTTATTATTACCAATTTACAGCTCGATATCATGCAGCTCCCTGCAATAGTATCTATAATGTTTCTTTCGAAAAGAAATTACTTCAGATTTTAAGCAAATTGGTTCTTGATCTTTCATGTGAAATTTTCTTGCTTAAGTCTGAATGCCATCGTGTTAAAATGCAAAAAGCTGGTTTGCAAAATGAATTGTTCTTTACATTTTCAGGTAAGTATATTACAGTTCTTTAAAGATCAACAAGCTGAGAACACATAACTAATTTTAAATACAGGTTGTGAATTAACCAGAAGCATTTTTAGAATATAAATTTTATAAATCTGAATAGATGTTATGTTCTGTACTTTGACTTAGTGCTAATAGCCCCCAAAATAAAATTCTGATTCATGCACTTAATGAAAAATTTTCTTTCAAATAATTTAAAACTTGCTATGAGAATACTATGGAATGGAATTTAGTATTAGGAATGTCTATTATGATATTTAGCTACAAAGATTTGATTTATAAAAGGATTTAATTATGAGATGGATTATATCATAGACAGAAGGAACTGTTCAGCTTAGCATGCTTTTCTTAATAATGCAGAGTGGAGTCCCAATATTTCCTGGAAAACAAAGAATTGGACTTGATGTCTAAGAACTTTAGATTTATAAATGGTCTGTTTATGAATGAGCACTTAGCAATTGCTATCCATGTGTATTTAAGGGGTCTCGGTGGCGGTAGGAATGACCCCCCCATCTCAAATGCTATTGCTTGCTCTTTTCTTTTCTTCCTTCCTTTTCTTTTTCCTTGATTCATCTGCTGTCAGTGTTTGATTGTATTTACCCATTTCCCTGCCTTGCCCTTCTCTCTTTTTTTTGGCCACCTAGTATTCAATTTTTAGAGACATAATTGAGAGGCATAAGCTTTAAGGGAAAAGGACAAGAGAAGTTCAACCTCATTTTCACTGTCTTTTATCTTCTTTACTACTTTTCTCTTTTGTCTAGAAAAACATTGAGAGTTTCTCCAGCCCCTGACACAAATTTTCAGAGATTAACTCTTTCTTTAACTCTTCAAGGACTCCTTATTAGCATTCATAGGAGTTATGGAATCTTTGTTCCTCGTTCTGTTTAATAGGTGGACAAGTCTTTAGGAAACCTGATAGTGTGCTTGAACCCATAGAGATGATTTCGGACAGAAATTAGCCATTGTTGGCTTGATTTGCATTTCCCTTATGACTGATGTTGTTGAGTATCTTTTCATGTGCTTATTGGCTATTTGAATATCTTCTCTGGAGAAACGTTTATTCAAGTCCTTTGCTCAGGACTTTTTGTGGTTGAGTTGTAAAAGTTTTCAATATGTTCTGGGTACTAGATCCTTATTACATATATGATATGCAAATATATTTTTCCTTTAAAAAATTTTTTTAATTCGAGTTTATTTATATTTATTTTTGTGGGCTACAATATGTTGTTTTTTTGTGGTTGAGTTGTAAAAGTTTTCAATATGTTCTGGGTACTAGATCCTTATTACATATATGATATACAAATATATTTTTCCTTTAAAAATTTTTTTTAATTCGAGTTTATTTATATTTATTTTTGTGGGCTACAATGTATTGTTTCAAAACATGCATATTTGCACAATGATTCTTTTAGGGTAGAAAGCATAGTTTTGTCCTCATTAGTTCACCCCTTGTCTTCACCCCCACCCCTACCTGTCTCAGCTTCTGATAACCATTATTCTATTTTCTACTTTTTTTTCTAAACACATAAAGATTAATAACCTCATTGCAAAAATAACTCTTAAAAACAAATTAGATTAGCTCTGTTGGTTAGAGCACAGCCTTATAACACCAAAGTCATGGGTTCAAATCCCTGTAGTGGCCAGCCCCTCCCCCCACAAGAATTAGAGAAAGTTAAGCTGAAATTTGGTGAAGGACATAAGCAGATAAGTCAAACACCCAAAGAAATACATGTAGTTAGTAAGTATTTTCTAGCATATGGTTTGTGGGTAGGGTGGGGCTGTCCCAACCCCTGTTTCTCAGGATCCCGGGCATCCGGCTGTCTTCTGTCACTGGCCTGGATGTGTTGCAAGGGTAAACACCCAAAGAAATACATGTAGTTAGTAAGTATTTTCTAGCATATGGTTTGTGGGTAGGGGTGGGGCTGTCCCAACCCCTGTTTCTCAGGATCCCGGGCATCCGGCTGTCTTCTGTCACTGGCCTGGATGTGTTGCAAGGGTGAGGGTGGGGCTTTCCCAACCCCTGTTTCTCAGGATCCTGGGTATCCGGCTGTCTTCTGTCACTGGCCTGGATGTGTTGCAAGGGCGAGGGCAGGGCTAGGACCCATGCCCCCAATCTCCTAGGACTCCCCAGGCATTTGGTTGGCTTCCATTGCTGGCCTGGGTGTGCGGTGGCAGGGGTGGGGCTAGGGCCCACAGCCTGCCCATCTCCCAGGACTCCCTGGGTGTTGGGCTCTATTTTTCCATTTTCTAGGTTGTCTTCTCACTTTCTTGATAGTGTCCTTTGATGCACAGTTGATTTTAATTTTGATGAAGTCCAATTCATCTATTTTTTGTTTTGTTTCTTATGCTTTTGGTGTTGTATCTAAGAATATATTGTCAAATCTAAAGTCATCAAGATTTACCCTTTTGTAGTTTTAGCTCTTACATTTAGGTCCAAGATTCATTTTGAGCTAATTTTTGTATATAGTGTGAGGTGTATTTTAATCTCATACTTTTGCATATGTGACTATCCCATTGCCCAAGGACCATTTGCTGAAGAGATTGTTCTTTCCACATTGAATGGTTTTGTAATCCTTGTTGAAAGTCAGTGAGCCATACATATTTATTTCTGGACTCTCAATTCTATTCTATTTTTCTGTGTTTCTATCCTATGTCAGTACTACACCATTTTGATCACTGTAGCCTTGTAGTGAGGTTTGAAATAGGGAAGTGAGAGTCCTTCAATTTTGTTTTTCCTTTTGAACATTGTTTTGGCAATTTAAGGTTTATTGTAATAACATGTCATTTTTAGCATCTGCTTCCCCATTTCTGCCAAAAAAGGCCATTGGAGTTTTAATAGGGGCTGCATTGAATCTGTATATAGTTTTGGATATTATTGCCACCTTAATAATATTAAGTATTCTAATCCATGAACACAGGATCTTTCCATTTGTTTAGAATTTTTAAAGTTTCTTTCAGCAGTGTTTTTTAGTTTCAATGTGTAAGTCTTGTATCTCTTGGCAAATTTATTCCTAAATATTGTATTATTTCTGATGCTAATTGTAAGTAGAATTATGTTTTAAAATTTCCTTTTAACAGTGTTCATTACAAGTATATATAGATTAATATTTATGTGTATCCTGCATCTCTGTTGAATTTATTAGTTCTAATAGTGTTTTTTTGTTTAGTTTCATTTTTGTGGAATCTTTAGTATTTTTTATATAGATTATGTCACCTATGGGTAGCAATAGTTTTAGTTATTTCTTTCCACCTTGGATAAACTTACATCTTTCCTTGGCAAATTGTTCTAGAACTTCCAATACAATGTTTAGTAGAAGTGGCAAAAGTGGGCAGTTTGTCTTGCTCTTGATCTTAGAGGAAAAGCTTTCAGTTTTTCACTTTTCAACTTTTCAATTGTAATTGAATATAATGTTAACTGCGGGCTGACTGTCATAGATGGTCTTTATCATGTTGAGGTACGTTCCTTCTAATCCTAATCTGTTGAGAGTTCTTTAATTAAGGAAGGATGTTGAATTTCATCAAATGCTTTTTCTGCATCTAATAAGATGATCATATAGTTTTTGTCCTTCATTCTGTTAATGTGGTGTGGTATATCTCATTTATAAATTTGCATGTGTTGAACCATCCTTGCATCCCAGGGATGAATTCCACCCAATTATGATGAATAATCCTTTAATTGTGCCACTGGGTTTGGTTTGCTAGTATTTTATTGAGGATCTTTGCACCTATATTTATCAGGGATATTGGCCTGTAGTTTTCTTTTCTTGTAATGTCTTTGCCTGGCTTTGGTGTCACAGTAATTCTGGCTGATGGGCAGTTTTTATGATAAATTATTTTCTCTCCTATGGCTCATGATCAGGGCAATAATGTAGACACAGTAATCTGCAGGAAAAAAATTGTAACTTTCTTCACCGGTTAATTGAGCATTCCAGGATGATATTTGCTTTGGTTTCATTTCTGTGCTCTCTATTCTGTTCCTTTGGTCAATGTGTCTATTTTTATGCCAGTACAATGTTGGATTTTTTGTGGGTTTTTTTGTTTTGTTTTGCTTTTTTCCAAGTCTACAGAACCCAGTGTTCCCAGGCAGCCTCCCACCCAAGTACCAGCCAGGTTTGACCCTGTTTAGCTTCCAATATTAGACAAGAGCAGGCGCATTCAGGATGGTAAGGCTGTAGACATGCTGTTTTAATTACTATACCTCTGTAATATAGTTTGAAGTTAGGTGGTGTGATGCATGCAGTTTTGTTCTTTTTGCTCAAGATTGCCTTAGCTATTTGAGGTTATTGTGGTGCCACATGAATTTTAGGATTTTTTTTTTCTTTTTCTGTGAAAATGACATTGGAATTTTCACAAGGATTGCGTTGAATTTATAGATTACTTTGAGTAGTATGGACATTTTAACAATCCATAAACATGGAAAATCTTTCTACTTATTTGTGTCTTCAATTTCTTTCATCAATGCTTTTTAGTTTTCAGGGTACAGATCTTTCACCTCCTTGGTTAAATCTATTCCTAAACGTTTTTTTGTTTTTGTATTTGGTAGTTATTGTAAATAGAATTGTTTTCTTGGTTTCTTGATGGATAGTTTATTTTTAGTGCATAGGAATGCTACTTTTTTTTTGTTGTTGTTGATTTTGTATCCTTCAACTTTACTGTATTCATTTATTAGTGCTACCATTTCTTGTGTATGACATCTTTAGAGTTTTCTATACATAAGATTATGTCATCTGCAAACAGAGAAAACTTAACTTCTTCCTTTCTGGTTTGGATGCCTTTTATTTCTTTCTCTTGCCTAATTGCTCTGGCAAGGACCTACAGTACGATATTGAATAGAAGTGATGAGAGTGGGCATCCCTGTCTTGTTCCTAATCTTAGAGGAAAAGCTTTCAGCTTTTCACTGTTGAGTATAATATGGCTGTGCTTCCTCAGGGACAATTTCTGTTATTCTCTTTTCCCTTGTGAATGGGCCACATATTATTGTATCTTTGCATGCCTTATCATTTTTTTGTTGAAAACTTTAAATTTTTGAATATTTTAATGTGTATACTTTTGGAATCATATATTTCTACCTCTTCAGTTTTTTTTTGTTGTTGCTTGTATGGGTCGTAGTTGTTTGCTTAGTGACTTTTCTAAACTACTTTTATAAAGACTATATCCTTTGTCATGTGTGATCTCTGACGTCTGTTTTCCATTAACTTTAATCTTTGTAAAATTTTTAACCTTTGAAGTTTCTTTAACTTTAACTTTTGTGGTCAGCTAGTGATTTGACAGAGATTTCCTTAAATGTTGTATTTAAGTTGCCCTCTGTTAATTTAGCATTAATTTGGTTGTTGTAAACATTTGGCTATTTTCTGGAGTTATGAAAAAAGTTGATTCTGACAATTTTTGATCATTTTTCAGTGTTTCTGTTGAAAGATATGGCTTAGATTTTCATTTGCCACCATTTTTGCTGGTGTCCTTACTGTCTTCTTCATTTTTTAATCTTCTAGAAGGCTTGTCTTTAGAAAGGCTAGGTAATTTCATACAGGATAAGGTTCGTCAGCTAACCTAAATAAAGGGGATATACTAGGAAGCAGAAGATTGGGAAGAGATAGCTGATTCAGAGAGCATGAGTGTTGTGTGGTTTGCCTAATATGGTGGGGAGGAAAACACTGCCTGTTGGCTGTTACCACCATTAGTACTGGATTCGAACCTAATCAGTACCTTGGATGTTTGTTGCTAGAATAATCATCTGTACTTATTCTGAAAAGACAGACAAGAAAGACCCTGTTTTATTTCTTTTGATTCTGTGTTGTGGTTTCTGACAGTTTTGCTTTAGTTCCACGAGTATTAGTAGATTTTAATGAATTCTTTAATTTGCCTTAAACATTTATAAATGCTCAAAAATAAAAAAAAAAATTGTACATCATGGTGATCTAATAATTGTATTATGATGCATGAGTAGACTCAGGTCTGCCACCCTCTGAGTTACTTTATGGATAGTACTTTCAAAAGCTGTTCCTTTGGTGAATAATATTTGAATAGCCTAGCTACATTTTGCTAGTGGTTTTATAATTCCATTGTGTATTTCTGATATATAAATTTACAGATTTAACTTTTTCTTGGCCTAAATTTAAGATAACCTCATTTTAAAAGGCTTTAAAGCAAAAATAGGCCATAAATAAAACTTTGTTTTACCCCAAACCCGTGACCCTCCTTGTAAGTCTTCCTCAGATGAACTGTTTTGTCAGAGTAACGTTTTGTCAGAGTAACTGTGTTTATAAAATCACTAGGATGGATTATATTGTCTTGTATGTGATATTTTATAGTACTTTATAGTATCAGTTCACATGGCAGCAGTGAAGTTTAATAACGTGTATGGGTTTGGAAAGATATGCAAGAAGTATGTTGAAACAACAAAATAACATTTCCAAGTATTCTAGAAGTGTACTCTGCATGTACTAGTAGTTTTGTGGTCAATGTTACTATCTTCACATCAGCACATCCATCAAACACATTTTATGTAGCATATTAGACAAATGCTGGTAATGTGGAGTATTTTTCTTCAAGAAGGCCATATTCTAGTAAAAAGTAAATATTTATGTAACAATAGTACAGGTCATTAAATACTACAGAAAAGTTACCAGGTGCTCTGTGGGTTCTAAGGAAGGGAAGATGATATTAAGGAGATAAACAATTAAATAGGTCTGTGGAAAATATTGGTGTTTTAAAAAAATTCTGTGGAAAATGAACAACTTGAAGTCATGTACACAGATAACAGGGCATATTTGGGAACAAGTCTAGAATGGCTAATGGGTTGGATATTGGTAGGATTATGGGGAAAATAATATTGTCAAGATGGCTAGTGATTAAATTATATAGAGCTTTGCTTTTTGGGCTGAAGTATTTATGGTTTTAATCATTTTTTAACGGCTGGAAAGAATGACAAAAATCACATTAGTTAGCCCATGGTTTTACAGAGTAGAGAGAGGAAGTCTCAAGAAGAGATTAAACAATATGCCTGTATTTATTAGTGATAGACCTAGAGCTAGAAATCCAATTCCCTTCCACATAGCTTGATGAATAGTGGGGAGTAACTGAAGGTTTTCAAGCTTCGTGGTAATGAGATTGATGCTATAATTTAGAAAGATTAATTAATGGAAATCCGTGAGGTTATCTTTTGTTTCTTATTCCTTCTTTGATTTTTAAGTCTTGGTAGTACAACGGGAACTTTTCTCAGATGATCTCATGAAGACATTACTTATTTTCACATTGCTAACGAAATCCGTGAGGTTATCTTTTGTTTCTTATTCCTTCTTTGATTTTTAAGTCTTGGTAGTACTATGGGAACTTTTCTCAGATGATCTCATGAAGACATTACTTATTTTCACATTGCTAATTGTAATGGGATTTTGTTGATTTTGTTCACATATATATCCCAAACACCTAGAATGGTACCTGGCACATAGTAGGCACCTGGTAATTATTTGTTAAATAAACAGGTGCGTGCATGCATGAAAAATCATTTCAGTTACCATGGCCACTACTATGGTCCAACCTCATTTTCTTTCCAGTATTGTTATTGTAGTTTGTCTTAACTCTGTCATTTTGTAGCTAGAGATTAAGAATTGAGTTAGTCAGATGATAACCACTATATTTTATGAGTAGAGTATTGAATGCACACACACACCCTTTTATAGATACATTACATATATGTGTTATAAAAGTTGAAATAATTCTGTTGTTAAAATTTTACAAAATCAGTAGCCAAACATTAATTACCAATAGTGTTGATTAATTTTTGAAATTCATGGTAGAAGTGGGGTTTTCTTGATTTACATAAAACAAATCTTTGGCTTAAGTTTTTTGCTAAAAAGAGTGATTTAGCATTGGAAAAATTGCTTGGTTTTTGAATGGAAGAGAAATATTAGACAAATAATGTTTCATTTTTCAAAAGCCAATTTAAATATTGTATTACAGTACATTAGACTCATGATAAAATATATTCTTACAGTTTCATCTCTAGACACTGAAAAAGGACCCAAGCCATGTACAGACCGTAGTTGTGAATCTTCCCGAAGACTGTCTAAGGTATGTTATGTAAGGCCAGAAAAAAGAAAAAAAAAATAAGTTGAATGAATGTGCCCAGTATGAAAATAAGTATCTTAGCTATTTATAAATACATTGAACCCCCACAGTTAGGGATTTCAACAATAAAAAAAAAACTTCACCCAAAAATAAGTGATAAATCAATAGAATTTATATTTTTATAAAATGCTTTTAAATTTAGCATTTCATAGTTGATTAAGTGAATGATTTTTTATTTATTTGGCCTTATTTGCTATTGCTAATTATTTATAAGTATTATTCAGGTAGAATTCTGTCTGTGTTATTGTTATCAATCCTAAATAATAAGAAAATTTGGACTATAATGTTTATTAACTATTTTCATACTGCTCTATAAACAACATACTATGTCTATGCTTAAGATGAAAATTATGCTGTAACTTCCAGCAGCAATTTAATTTAGTTCTCTTTTTTACATTATACTTAACATATTGTTCATGCTCAATAAATTTGTGACAATATTTTCCTATATATAATTACATTTAACTTACCATAAACACTTTTTAAAAAGTAATATTTGTAAATATTTGGGATATAAAGTCATTTACATTATGATGTTTGTAAAATTATCCTACTAAATTGCATAGAGATAAATATCCATTATTTTTCCCAGTGAAATTGATCCAGATATTATTTCTTAATTTGCACCCAGAAAGCCTCTTGAAATATAGTTTAAGTCATTAGTCTGTATATTATCTCACATCTCTACTTAAACATTTCCTTATGGGTTACTTCTCTTCTCTGGGATAGATTTTTTCTTTACTTTTGAAATAGGATTTAAGTTTTGGGACACCAAGAACAGAGAACAATCAGTCTTATTTTTCTTCTTTCATTTTTTAATCCATGAGTAATGTTAATCATTATTAATCATTATCCAGTCTTTAAACTTGTAAATAGTCACAGTCTGTGAGCTAGTATAATTTCTTTGGTAATGGTGTGGGAATGTGTGTGTTAAAGCAGAGGGATTAGGAATAGGGGAGGAATCTACCCATATTGTTATTTTCCCTGAAGATGGTCTCATAGTGATATCCATTTGTAGCTTTCTCATGTCATTTATAACACTGAGAGTCAACTTAATTTCTAAGCTTTAAGTGGAAACATAGAAATAAAAAATATTTAAACCATGAAGCTTTGAGTAATAGAGGTCTGCAATTTCATTAAGTCCATTTGTTCCTTTGGACCTGATTACCTGATTATATGAGGGGTTTTCAAAAAGTTCAGGGAAGGATCCCTACTATCTTTTAATTCTATTTTCCCATGAACTTTTTGAGGTACTCTCATATTAGGTTCTTCTACAGACATTCTGCCCTGTGACTTTTTCTATCTCTTGGAAACTTTTTTGAAAAGCAATATGCTTATCTTTCTTTCGTTTTAAGCATAAAATAGTGTCTTACATGACTTGTAATAGCAAAATAAAGATTGACACCTGGTGCTTCTCTAGCTTGATGATAGTATAGAACAGTATAATACTCGACATAATAATAAAAAAAAAAAAAAAGAACTCGGAATTTCCAGACAAGTATTTTCTCAGAAGCACTCCAGTATGTTCATTTACAGATCTGAAAAATTGTTTAATATATCTGCCTTATTGTTGGTTTCATTTGCCTGTTAACTTTAGGACCTTTTTATCTTGTATTAGCATCTTATATGTTACTAAATGGAGTCCTCTAATTTTAGGAAGATTTAAGTGACTGAAATCATCCCCAAACTGCAGTAAGACCAAATATATTTTGGCATATTTGATCCACTGGTGGTATATAGTTTTACTAAGAGTTGATCTAAATATTTTTCTTCTTAGATGCACCATTTTCTTTCCACTGTTCTCTTATTGATCTGTTCATCAATCCTTATGCCAGTGCCACCACACTTTTTGCTATATAGTATGTGTGTGGCAAGTCTGATGTCAGTAGTATGGGTACTTTATCTTGGTTCTTTGTTAAAATTGTTCTGGATATTCTAGGTCCTTTTCATTTCCAAAAAAGGTTAGAATCAGCATGTCAGTTTTCTCAAAAAAGCCTTTTTGGGTAAAGATTGGAGTTGCCTTGAATCTACAGGTCAGTTTTGTGAGAAATGACATTTTAACAAGCTATCTTCCAGTTCCTGAAAATGATCCATCTTCCTTCCTTCCTTCCTTCCTTCCTTCCTTCCTTCCTTCCTTCCTTCCTTCCTTCCTTCCTTCCTTCCTTCCTTCCTTCCTTCCTTCCTTCA